ATATATCTTAGGAAAATGGCTTACACACATATAGAAGCCGGCAAGTCCAAAGTTTCTGGATCAAACGTCAAGCTGGAGGATTTTCCTGGCTCCCGTGACTGCAGGGGCTGGGGAGCTCAGAGCTGGCAGGCAGTACACTGGCTGTTGACTCCAATGAATGATGAATCCAATATCTCCAGGCCGAACAGTAAACTGCTCACTCATGGAGAGTTGTAGGCAGCACAACAGAATCCCGATCCACAGAAGAAAGTCTCTCTTCCCAGGATGTCCCTGGATATACTGGAAGCAGGCCACACCCCTAACCCCTAGGGAAACTCCCTTTCAACAGATTGGCCACTCAGAACACAGTTATCCAATCCCATCATAGAAACAACCACACAGAACTAGAGTCCAGCCAAGTTGACACACAGCTCCAACTATCACAGTCCACCCCTTGTCAACTTGGCAGTTGTATACATCTTCTTAACCAAATATAATCCCTAAATAAGGACAATTATAAAGTCATATTTGTGCCTAACATGATACGCTAACACACACACAACCAAAATGCATTAATCTTATTTATATTTCACAGTTCATAGCAGAAGGAAACAAAAATATTTGATGCACATATGCAATGAAGAAATATAACAATCACGGTCCTCATTTCTGTAGCTGGTCACGTGGTTGTAGCTGATATTCAGAACTACCTTCTTCCACCACCCATTCTGTATTTCCCTTGCCCTCAGCAAGCACCTCAGCTGGTCATGGTTCTTTGCCTCTGGGAATTGATTGAGAGGTCGTGATTCTGTATTCTGGTGATTCAATCTAGGTTGCTGTTCACGTGACCTAGAATTCTTCTGTCTACACAGATCAAGTAAATAGTTGCCATGTATTTTCACTATATGGGCAAGTAGCCAATGCCATAATTCCACACGAGTCAGACTATTCTGATTAGTGTTACGACTCTGCTGATCATTATGGTAACCACGCCCACCTTACCTTTGTCGATTAACTGCTGCCACTTGGTCCCTACTACCATGGGGTCCAGTCAGCCCCATCATATTTAAGTGTCTTAGTTCAATTAGGCAGTTCCCACTGTCAAATCAGGTTTACATAACATAGCAATCACAGCAGTCTTCAAGGATGGTGGAGCTCCCTTCACAAATTTATTCCTCACAGTACTGGTGAAAGGTGTGTCTTCTGGACTCTCCATTTCTGGCTCTAGGGGTCTAATCTGATAAATCCATTCTAACAGGCCAATTTCCCTAAGCCTCTGGATACCTTCTACATTATACCAAGGCAGGTCTGGCACTTCAACTTGACTTAAGGTAGGCCACCACATAATCCATGCCTCAGTAAGCCAACCAAATAAACTATTAGATCCTTTCCTAACCTCTTGAGCTGAGACACTGAATGAAGAATCCATACTTAGTGGACCTAAATCAATAAACTCAGACTGATCCAATCTTACATTCCTTGCACCATTATCCCACACCCTCAGTAGCCATTCCCATACATATTTTCCAGGTTTCTGTCTGTACACGTTAGCAAAATCAAGTAGGTCTTTTCGGGTATACCTTACCACCTCCTCAGTGACACTTTCTATTTCACCTTTTGGGGCTCACTTGGACTTAACTTTAGTTATCAGCCTAGCAGCAACAATAGGTGCTTGAGGCAGTTTCTGAGAGCATTCAGGAATGTCTTCCATGGCCTCTGCCTCACACAATCACCCTGCAGGACTGGATAGGCTAGTCCCATCAAACTGAGGGGAAGGGGATAATAGTGTTACAGTAATCTGTTCAGATGGGAGGGATTCAATAGAATCTATAGGCTCTATATCCTGATCTTCCTGATCATCTGTCCATATGTCCCCATTCCAGATCTCAGGATCCCATTTTTCCCCCAAACAATGCCTTCACTTTAATGTCAGACACTGTTCTGGATTGGCAATTTAATTGGCATTGTAATTTAGCCACCCTTACAATAAGACTCTTGGTTTGGTTTTCAGAAATATCAGCTCTGTTACTAGAAGATATAAGGCTTTCTTTCAGAGCACAACTGGAAGCACTGAGGTCTTTTATGTGGTGCTTAAGCATAGACTCAGCAGCTCTGAGCTCATCTTGCTCTTTCACCACTTTGTCTAGTGTAAGTAGGACCAACCAACCAGCTTCCTTATACTCCTCATTCTGACAAAATTGCATAAAAGTATCAAATATCTGATTACCCAGAGCATCACTTCTCACAAGTACTTGATCTATTGGTGGTGCTATTTCACGTATTAATTTTGCCACCTCACACCACGGATTAGCAGGGCCCTCTTTACTAACACACGGAGGGTCACTAGTGTCTTTAAGATTAATCAAACTGGAGAACGAATCTAGGAAGCCCATCCTTATGATTTTTCTCTCTAGAACCACTCCCGGTACCAAGTGTGTTAGACTGGATTCTCTAGAGAAACAAAAACCAGCAAAGCTTATATATACATATATATAGAGAGAAATTTATCTTAGGAAAATGGCTCACAAACATATAGAAGCCAGCAAGTCCAAAGTTCCTGGATCAAACGTCAAGCTGGAAGTTTTTTCTGGCTCCCGTGACCACAGGGGCTGAGGAGCTCAAGGCTGGCAGGCAATACACCGGCTGTTGACTCCAATGAATGACGAATCCAAGATCTCTAGGCCAAAAGGTGAACTGCTCACTCACAGAGAGTTGTAGGCAGCACAACAGAATCCTGATCCACAGAAGAAAGTCTCTCTTCCCAGGATGTCCCTGGATATCCTGAAAGCAGGCCACACCCCTATGGAAATTCCCCTTCAACAGATTGGCCATTCAGAACACCGTCATCTGATCCCATCATGGGAACAACCACACAGAACTGGGGTCCAGCCAAGTTGACACACAGTTCCAACTATCACAGGAGGCTGGAAGTCTAAATTCAGGACATCGCCTCCCGGGGCAGGCTCTCTCTATTGGCTCAGGGGATGAATGTTTCTCTTTCAGCTTCTGCTCCTTGGCTCCTTGATAATCTGAATATGGTATTTGTCTTTCCCGGTTTCTGCTTCCATCCTCTGTGTCTAATGTTCTTTTTATATATCAAACGTAATTAGATTTAAAACATACCTTACACTGATTCAACTTAATTAACATAACAAAGAAAATACCATTCCCAAATGGGATTACATCCACAGGTATAAGGGTTAGGGTTACAACACATATTTTGGGGCACACAATTCAACCCATAATAACAATGCTGGATTGAAACTGCAACACAAGACCTCTTACCCTCAATATCTAGTAAAAATAGTAAAACTTTCTCCTAAAAGAAACAAGAACCAAAGAGGCAAAGGGTAAGACTGAAGAAATCAGCTCCATATACTTCACAAACAGGAAACAGAAGATTCCAGAGCAGAGTGATGACACAGCATAGCATGGGCCCTACTTCCATGAAATAAAGCTTTGCTCTCTCTTCAGGCAAAATAATCATACTTCATTTGTCATTACAGAAAATACTTAAAGATGAAATACATGTGTGTCAGACTAGAACTGTGCTCCATAGGGTTTTCAATGACAAATATTTTGGAAATAGATTGATAGGCCACTCTTCTGAGGTGCATTAGGGTGGACTTGAATCCCGAACTTTTCATGTTAACCATTTATCCACCCAAGGACTTTAGAACATACTTAGCCCTTCATTAATTATCTGTGAAAATTGACCAGAACATGGTTCCACATGTAAAATCTCCAAATATCAAGTCATTGCCTGGGAAATATGAAATCATCTTAACCAATTATTTTAGTAATCCCAACTGGTTCTGTGAAACTGAAAAAGGCAGGCAATGGGGAAGGGGCAGGAAGCAGAGAAGCCCAGTGGCCTGTGGAATGCACACCCTGGATAATTCAATGTGCTCCTCTGTTACCCCAGTGAGTGCCAGTAAAATGACACACTGGGAGAGAATTCTATTTGTGAATGTCTCACAAAGGAGGGGTGCTCATAGTATGTGGGGCAAGTTTGGTGGTAAAATCATTGCTTCCTAGACAGGACAGAAGGTGAGGTTAAATATTTTTCCTTACCTAAGGCATGTGACTGCTAACCAGAAGGCTGGTCGTTCAAACTCACCAGCCACTCCTCAGAAGGAAGATGGGGCAATCTACGAGTCAAGGCCTACTAGATGGCACATAACAACAACAACAACACTGCCTCAGAAACCCAAGGAAGGGTCACTATGAGTCCCTTCCAACTCGACGGCAGTTAAGTTTTTGAGTTCTCAATTTAAAAAGCCACAGTGAATCCAGTTTTATATCAACATTTTAGCATTGATTAATTTTTCAGTGATTGGCTCATTGGGGTAGTTTTGAGATGGGTCCAGCTTTGACTGAGATAGTTTTCTTGCTCTGTAAATGGAAGAGTACCTGTAAATTATCCAGGATGATTCGGAGGGAGTGCACCTGTCGACGAACAGCCCCTGAAAATCTTTCATAGCTTGCAGCATCGTATTCACTCATCTGGATCTCTTTTAGCCTGAAACAGAGGGGAAAAAGCCAACAGCTTAACTCAGGTGCATGTGGGTCTTTTACTTCCAGTCATCAACTGGTAGAGTTGTAGCAAACCAATTGGGTAACTGGCTGGGAAAACTGACTGGATAGATTTGTGAAAAACAGAAAAGAACTGATGTCTCTAGTTTGTAGTTTCAAAGGAAGGGAAACATCCAGTATTGTGCTAGTAAACAGCAAATGGCTCTTCGGGGGAAAAGCCCTGACTTATAGGATTTGCTGATATCTGTGGTGTAAATAGTCCCATCATGATCAATTTCAAGGTGCCAGCAATGAGGTCACTGAAACCTGAGTTGGGGAAAAATGTGCCCATTAGAGTCTCATGAGCCAGTGTCAGCAGACTCCATAGCCCACGCTTGCTGTATCCCAAAGACATACTGCAATGCTGGCAGCTAATCAGTTCACATGGCAGGCACCTAGAGATTCCCACGGTTTGCTTTTCAAAACCAAGGCCATATATTTGGTTGACCAAGATAGCAGTTTAGTCCCAAAGAATATAATTTAATATGTTGCTATGTATCCATATACAATAGTTTCCTGAAATTGTTGACTGTATACTTTTAAAAGGACAATTACATTTTAATATTATTGTGGCTTTCAAATCCTACCTCCTGGTCCAATGCTCCTCCTTATCGTTTTTCATCATTTGCCTGTGCTGCAGCTCCATTGAACACACCATGCACCCACGTCTCTATGCCCTTGTGCAGGCCTCTGCCCTATCCACCCAGAGCATCCTTTCCCGGCCACTTTGCCTACTAAGTTCCACTTACTCTTCAAGACTCAAATAGATTACCACCTCTAATCTTCTCCGATTCCTAGGTCTTTCTTCTGTGTTCTTGTGTCCCTTCTTACTGACCTCTATCAGGACATTTATTACTGTGCTATCATTGTCCAACACCAGCCTCCCCCAGTAAGCTCTACACTCCTTTACCTAAGGGCTGACTCTTTATCATCTTTATATGTACAGCACCTTGCTGGTACATAATCCAAAATAACCAAACCAAGGTCACTGTCGTTGAGTTGGTCCCCACTCATAGCAACCCCTCCTAGGGTTTCCAAGGCAGTATCACTGCGGAAGTAGATTGCCCAGTTATCCTTCCAAGGAGTGGCTGGTGGGTTTGAAACGCCAGCTTTCTGGTTAGCAGTCAAATGCCTTAGGCACTAGGGCACCAGAGCTCTTCTGATATATAATATGTGCTCAAAATAAATTGAAATGAGGGGGCAGGAATATATAGGAAAGAAGGACACAGGGAAGAAGTAACTATAAGGAAGAAGTGGGAAGAGAGGTGTTACATTGTGGGAAATTGCAGTCAATATCATGAAACAAAAAACGTATGAACTGCTGGAAAACGAATTTGCTCTGTAAACTTTCACCCAAATCACATGCAAAAAAATTTTTCTTAAATGAAAAAATAAATTGAAATGAACCGCTGAAATTAAAATTAAAAAGAAGATTCAGTGTTTAAAACTAGTTAAAAAGAAGGTTAACTCACCAACTAAATTTCTCTTGGGTTTTACAGTATTGTATCCATCCATGTCCCTGTATAACACTGAAGGAACTACATGGTTAAACTATTAATAAAAAGGGTGCTGATACTAGGACAAGGAATGACGACTACATATCCCAAAAGCCTAACTGAGTAAAATGTTAAGTCTAAAACTGCAATGCGTGTGTGTGTGTGTGTACACATGTGCATGCATGCATACACAGAGTTGGTAGGTATGGATCCCACCATGCTTTGAAACTCTAACCCAGAATATATTTCTATCACCTTAGGCTAGAACACAGGAGTCCCTAGGTGGTGCAAATGGTTAAGCACTCGAGTATTAATAGGAAGGTTTGTGGTTCGAGCTACCCAGCGGCTCCTGGAAGACAGGCCTGATGATCTGCTGCTTTGAAAACCCTACGGAGCAGTTCTATTCACCATGAGTCAGAATAGTTGATGGCAACTAACAACTACAGGCTGGAACATAAACCACAAATGCTAAAGAATGAATGGTCTCTTCCTCCCTGTCAGGCCAAGCATTGGGATGAAAACACTCACATAGGGCAGAGTACTAGAGGTTTATTGTTGTTGTTGTTGTTATGTGCCGTAGAGTCGGCCCCGACTCATAGCGACCCCACCTAGGGTTTCCAAGGCAGTATCACTACGGAAGTAGGATTGCCCAACCTTCCTTCTGAGGAGTGGCTGGTGGGTTTGAACCGCCAGCCTTCTGGTTAGCAGTCAAGTGCTTTAGCTACTATGCTGTCAGAGCTCCCAGAGGTTTATTAGAATCACAAAATATTAGACCTAGAACCAGAATAGATGCAAGGATGGTGAAACTTCATCTCACATACTTTGGACATATTATCAGAAGGGACCAGTCTCTAAACAAGGACATTATGCATCTTAAAGTAGAGGGTCAATGAAAAAGAGGAAAACCCTCAACAAGATGGATTGACCTAGCAGCTGCAACACTGGGCTCAGATAGCAATGACTGTGAGGATGGCGCAGGAGTGGGCAGAGTTTCATTCAATGGTACGCAGGGTTGTGATGAGTTGGAACCAACTTGATGGCACCTAACAACAATGAAAATAACCATGGGGCAGATATGCAATTTCTGCTCTACCAACCAGCTCAAAGGCCACCTCCTATGAAGTCTTGTTTGATCCCTTTGGGTAAAACTGATCCTTCCCACTTTCATGTACCTTATTCAGACATTTACCCTGGAATCTACACACTTTATTGTTTTTAATGGATATGCCTATCTCCCTCTACTGCAGCATTTTTCAAATTTTTCTGATCACCAACCACAGCAGCAAATAAGGTTTTACACTGAGAACTAGTACACACAAATCTGTGTATTTGTATATATATATAAGTGAATTAAAAGCTTAGTAAAAAATACATTTATCACATGTAATAAAAACCAAAAACAAAACAAAAAAAAAACTCTGCTGTTGAGTCAGTTTTGATTCACAGCGACCCCTCCTTGGGTTTCCGAGGTAGTATCCCTATGGAAGTAGATTGTCCAGTATTCCTTCCAAGGAGTGGGTGGTGGGTTAGAACCACCAGCCTTCTGGTTAGCAGTCAAATGCCTTAGGCACTGTGATAGTTGGAGTTGTGTGTCAACTTGGTTGGACCCCAGTTCTGTGTGGTTGTTCTCATGATGGGATTGGATGACTGTGTTCTGAGTGGCCAATCTGCCCAAGGGGAGTTTCCCTAGGGCTGTGGCCTGCTTCCAGGATATCTAGGGACATCCTGGGAAGAGAGACATTCTTCTGTGGATTGGGACTCTGGTGTGCTGCCTACAACCTTCCGTGAGTGAGCAGCCCACCGCTCGGCCTGGAGATCTTGGATTCTTTTGTTTTGTCTTTTGTTGGAGTCACCAACCAGTGTACTGCCTGCCAGCATTGAGTTTCTTGGCCTCCGTGGTTGCGGAAGCTAAGGCTTCTCCCAGCCCGACGTTTCCTCCAGGGACTTTGGACTTGTCAGCTTCTATATGTTTGTGAGCCTTTTTCCTAGGATAAATTTCTCTCTTTCTCTCTCTCTGTATATCTATAACTTGCTGGTTTTTGTTTCTCTAGACAACCCAATCTAACACATTTGGTACCAGGAGTGGTTCTAGAGAGACAAAATCATAAGGATGGGCTTCCTAGATTCGTTCTCCAGTTTGATTAATTTTGATGACACTAGCGGCTCTGTGTCTGCTAGTAAAGAGAGCCCTACTAATACATGGTGTGAGGTGGCAAAATCAATATGTGAAATAGCAGCACCAATAGATCAAGTACTTGTGAGAAGTGACGTTCTGGGTGATCGGATATTTGATACTTTTCTGCAATTTTGTCAGAATGAGGAGTATAGGGAAGCTGGTTGGTTGGTCCTACTTACACTGGATAAATTGGTAAAGAGCGAGATGGGCTCAAAGCTGCTGAGTCTTGGTTTAAGCACCACATAAACGACCTCAGTGTTTCCAACTGTGCTCTGAAAGAGAGCCTTATAACTTCTACTAACAGAGCTGACATAGCTGAAACCCAAATCCACAGTCTTATTGTAAGAGTGGCTGAATTACAATGCTAGCTAAATTGCCAACCTAGAATGGTGTCTGCTGTTAAAGTGAGGGCATTGATTGGAAAAAAAATGGGATCCTGCAACCTGGAATGGGGACATATGGACAAATGATCAGGAAGATCAGGATATGGAGCCTATAGATTCTGTTGAATCCCTCCCAACTGAACGGATTACTGTAAAACCATTATCCCCTCCCCCTCAGTTTGAGGGGACTAGCCAAACCAGTCCTGCAGGGTGATTGTGTGAGGCAGAGGTCATGGAAGACATTCCTGAATGCTCTCAGGAACTGCCTCAAGCACCTATTCTGGTGGCTAGGCCCATAACAAAGGTCAAGTCTAAGCGAGCCCCAAGATGTGAAATAGAAAGTATGACTGAGGAGGTGATAGGCTATACCCGAAAAGACCTAATTGATTTTGCCAACATGCACAGACAGAAACCTGGAAAATATGTATGGGAATGGCTACTGAGGGTGTGGGATAATGGTACAAGGAATGTAAGATTGGATCAGTCTGAGTTTATTGATTTAGGTCCACTAAGTATGGATTCTTCATTCAATGTCTCAGCTC